AATAATTTCATCAAAATTGAAGCTAAAGCCTATAACGTTAGGTCCCAGCGCAAGTAGCAGCCGCCTCCTTAGCAGACCATTCAAATGAGAAACACACAAATTGAACAGCTATGTTCATGCACAGCAGAGTAAGTGAAATGTGAAAATAATCTAATATCAAATCAATTTAAATCAATCAGTTTATCCATCAATCTAACACCGGGAGAGCCGCGATCGGATTGGGGTAAAGTTACAGGGGTAAAGTTAACGTTAGTAGGCCGTCCGCCGTCGATTAACACAATGCTGAAACATATTTTAAAGTATGTCAGTGAGCCTCCGTCTTGCCTTTAATCGTCTTATTTTACGTTCAAATATATGCATTATGAACAAAGAACCGCCATTATTTCCAAGCAATAGGCGTTTTTTTTTTGTTAATCCTGTCGACATTTAGTTGTGAATGGGTCTCCACACTGCTTGATCCACGCCCGGGATTTCTCCCCTTTGGCTTTTAGGTTTCGGGAAGAGAAAAAATGCCACCCCACCGTCCAAACTTTTAGAATACCGGGTATCAGATTTGCACAATCCATACGCACAACGCGTCGGCATGTTTCCCTCGCTCGAAAGCTTGACAGACCTTCCGCGCCTAGTTACGGTTGCTAAGCCACGATTGGCCAGTGGCGGTTTTCGGGCGTGGCTTAGCGAAGGGTCAATTAAAACAACAAAAATGTTCAGTCCATTGTAGTAAAGAAGCATTTCTTTATTACATTTATTTCATTAGAGTCCACTTTTTTTCAGCGGCCTTGGTTCTGGAAATATTTCTACTAATATTTCATAGGGATTTTTGTAAAAGTTATCGTTAAAGAGTTAAGCCAACCAAACCAACTACAAGTTGAATCAAGCCATTACAAACTTGGATGCGAAGCAAAAAAATATTTGAAATTTGGGGAACAAGAAAAAGGTACAAGACTGTGTCCTTTAAAGCTTTAATGTAGGGAAAAACTACAATCCCATAAAGCATTGTGAATGAAAGTTATGATTGTATATTATGATTGTATTTACAGGCACAGACAGTTATCCTTATTACTTACTTGGTTTTTTATTTGTGGAAAGTGCCATTTCCTGTGGTTGAGTTTATTTTTTATATTCACATTTAACACAAATGTAATTTGTTGCAGTCAAATCTCAACTTTCAGTGTATTTTGCCTAGTGCTACTTTAATTACAGTATATAAGAGAGTAACAGTCATATATCTTTGATATTGTCAACAAGGTAAATAAGAAAGACTGCTTAGAACAAAAAGATCCTGTTTTTGATATTTTGTAACACTGTGTAACTTTGTACTGTGTCCCGACGGAAAGAGGAACAGAGAAAAGCGTTTCACTTTCTTTGTACTTTTAGTAGCCTTTTTATGAGGTGAGCTTATTTTGCATTTCAGATATGCCAGCCTGTACTTTTGCTGTGCTGTGGAAGACCAAGAAAACGAGTTGATAACCCTGGAGATCATCCACAGATATGTGGAACTGCTGGACAAATATTTTGGCAGTGTGAGTTAAGACTTATGTCAGCTTTTGCTTTTCAGCCTCAATGAGCTTTAGAGGAGTTTGGTGGTTTTGGCTTGTTAAAGTCACCATGAAATCAAAAATCTTTTTATTTTTTTATATTTTTTTTTATACATAATGTTACTGTGCTTATTATAAATGATATATCCATGCACATCATTATTTTAATAAAATTCATATGCCCTTGTAATCTTTTAATCAAAATCTTCATGACGTATGTCTCTTCAGTCGGATATACAGTACTTCACAATAGGGAAGAAAAGACTATCGCAACTTACGTTTCATGCTTACTTTAGTAATAATTCACCCAAAGAATGACAACTTGCCCCTCATGTTTAAAAAAAAAAAAATATATATTTAAACAGGAAAAGATTAAAGACATTCGGGCCTGACTTAATATAAAACTGATTTTCAAAGCTGTATGACTATATGACTCCAAAAGATCCCCATTAAAACATAATAAACTAGTCCATATTGCTTGATTTCAAATTTTCTGAAGCCTAATGATAGCATTGTGTGAGGAAAAGAATGACATTTGACCATTCAACTTTCACTTTCATTGTATTGAAAAGAGCAGCTGAGCAAAATAAAAGAAAGTGAAGTTTTGAAAGGTTTTGAGTAAATAATGTCAGAATTTTCATCTAACTATCGGTATTCCTTTTTTAAACCAATGACCAGTTCTGTTGCTATATTTGAACAGTTTCGGTTAAAACTCTTGCAATCGCTCATTGTTAAACTCACTGTGTGTTTGAAAACCAGGTGTGTGAACTGGACATTATCTTCAACTTTGAGAAAGCCTATTACATACTGGATGAGTTTATACTGGGTGGTGAAGCCCAGGAGACATCGAAGAAGAATGTTCTGAAGGCCATAGAGCAGGCTGACATGTTGCAGGAGGTGAGGAATGCACAAACTACTCATTCTAAACGTGCTTGGGAAAAATACTGGCAGTTTTTTTAGTATATGAATGGACTTTCTTTGATTTTTACCTCTAACAGGAAGCCGAGACGCCACGTAGCGTTCTGGAGGAGATTGGACTGACATAAATGTTGAGGACTAACAAACCAACCAAAACTCTAACATATATTATTTTCTTTTTTTCTGTGGGCATTTTCTCTATATCTGTATTTTAGGTTAACATGCAAAAGTGTTTAAAAAAAATCAGCACTTCCTGTTAAGGTATTGATGCCTGCATTTCTACTGCCAAACATCTGAGGGAATCGAGCTCATCAAAAAGTGAATCTGTGCCACTATCTTAGCAGTTATGCAAATTTCCCAGTGTTTGACTTTGAATTCAGGTTTGGATCAGTACATGTGTAGCAAAGATTAGCGTCAGCATCCCCACTTTTCCCACGACGTCTTCTCTGTATTAAAACATTACCTCTTACCTTCAGCTGCCTTAAAACACTCTTTTCCAGCTCACACGCAGTTTGCCAGTATTTTTTGCAACTCTCAGTAGATCCAGTAGAAGTCAGAGGTTCAAGACCAAGACTTGCTGAAGTGTTACGGACCAAACATTCTTATCCAGACGGGGGAACAGAGATAATGTAAACTAGACATTCAGAATTTTTTGGCATAAATTCAATGATTGTATTGACTAAGGCACAAGTAAACACCAGTATTAGTGAATTCCTGACCAAAAACACTGTAATAATTGGTTCCTGTGAACACTTAGTTGGTTCAGGCATATCAGACATTTGCCATTCATTAGTTGTTTAATTTCTAATGCCAAAGAATTTTTTCCACCGTCTTCATGCCTTTTTCCCCCATAAAATCATCTTTGTATGCTATTGTATTGGACTGTTTGTCAGACTTACTCTTGAAAAAAAAAAAAAGTCTTTTGAAGCATAAAAACAAACAAATGCTGAATAAAGTCAGATATCGCAGCGTTTTGTCCAAATCTTTGACGATCTCTTACTAATAAAGAACATAATTTGATATGTATAGTAATTTTTTCTTGTAGTTGGCAACAAAACGCATCTAAATCAGCGGTCTCATCCTTCTTGACTCCAGGGCCCCCCCTTTGACAATATTCGAAGGCTTTTCTATTTATATGTACCTCTGGTACTTCTATAGAAATAAAAATAAATAAATTCATAATATGATGTCATCTTTATTTTAGTGGGGTTTTTTTTCAGCATTTTAATTAAAATTATGTTAATATAATGACATTTTTAGACTTATTGAGGCCCCTCTGAATGTTTGCTGAGGGCCTCTAGTGGGCCCCGGGCCCCTTTGTTGAGAACCTCTGATCTAAATGCATCCCGATCTTATTGTGAACAATTAATTAATGCATACAATTCATTTTGTAATATTTTTTTTTTTTTGAGCCCATACTTTTTAATCAAAATGGCGACATCTGCTTAAACCCCTATTTTTTACAATCAACTCAAGCTCACATTCAGATCTGTTTCCATCCATTCAACAATCAATAAATAAAACCAATTTGCCACCCAACGCTTAATGGGTCTCATTCATGAAACACGAGCAGAACGAATTTTTGTGTAAATCGTGTGTAAAGTGGTTCTGGCGTAAATTTTCGGATTCATTAAAATGTTCGTATTTTCCAAATGTTAGTTGGTACACAAGAAATCTACACCTGCTCCCAGCCACGCGTAAATAGTGCGCTTAACACCCGAACGTTTTGCTCATTAATAAGGCTGCATTTTAATTCACCTTAATCGGGTACATATTTACACAGCATTTTGAAAAAATATTATATATAGTAATTACATACTGTTTTTCATATTATGAGAGCCAGTAATAGCATCTGCGATGGTGGTCCTTCTCCAGTTTGAATACTATTTTTCCGAAGTGAACTAATTCGTTTTTTGCTCTCAAGCTTAATGTCGAACCATTTTCTTCTCACTTCTGGGAATGTTCGATTAACAGATGAAACTCCATTAACTGCATCTGTAATATGCTGCCAAGCTTCCTTTTTTTTAGGACCCGATACGCCACTATGTACGCTTGAAAATAAAAAGGTGGCGTTTTGAATGAACTTCTGATAATAAAACTTCAATTTCTGATAATTTTTTTTCCATTCGCATTCATGTCATAATATGATGCACATATATAGTCGTCAGTCGGATTTAATGGGCGGGATTTATGGTAATTGAGAATGAACGTGCACGCGCATCCCATATTACGACTGATTGGAATTCATTAACACACACACACACACATTTCACTATCACATCTGACGTTTACGAAGTATTTGTGAATCAGGAGAAGAGTTTTCGGGAAGGTCTCTTTACGCGCAAATCACTCGCATATTTACGAATGTTTCATGAATGAGACCCAATGCGTTTCATTCAATGTAGCCTACATCAGATGGAAGAAATGATCTGTCGTTACTTCTGTTACATCGCAACTTTAAATAAAATGGCAATAATAATCCCCAAGAACTGCTTACCCATTTAAAAAAATAAATAAAAATGACCACCAACACTTTCAACAAGATTTCAGAAAATGCTAGATTTAATTACAAATGTACAGGCAATGTATTCATCAGCAAAAATCGTAAAAACTAGGCATTTTGATATGCAAACGAAAATAACAACAGCTGCTTTAAGACAACAGAAACAGTTTATGTATTTGTATGGAATCTATGGAGACTGTGTGATGCTATCGGGTTTGGTAGAGTCTGTAAGCGTGCACTGGATCTCCTCATCTGGATGACAAAACCCCAAAGTTGCGGTCTCTACTTTATCTTCTGGCGAACCTGCACTGGATGCCGCAGCTGTACATTCTTCAGCAGGAGCTTCTGATTTCGACGGCGTCTTGCTACCCTCCTCATTGTGGGAATCCTCGCCAGATCCAGCGGACGAGCTCGAGCTGCGTGATTTACTCTTCTTTCTTTTGTGTTTCTTTTTACCCTTTTTTTTCTTCTTGCTCTTTTTAGAGTGCTTGTGCTGACGTGTATCCATTCGGTCAGAGTTTTCTGGGCTTTGGCTTTCCTTCCTGTGACCCCTCCGTTTCACAGACCCGTTTTTGGATACATGGTCCGGACTGTTTGATTTTGACCTCTTTCTTCTCGAGTCTGCTGATGAATATTCGCTTTGCTTTAACCGGTCTCTGCTGTGGGATCGACTCCTGCTCCTCCTGGATTGCTCTCTCTGAGATCCCCTAATTATTGATTGCTCTGGCTTCCTTCTCTCTCTGCTTCTGCTACGACTCCACCTTTCCCTGTTTCGACTGTGCCTCTCTCTGCTACGGCTCCGCCTTCCCCTGTAACTGTACCGGTCACGGCTGCGACTCGTTCGATCCGTCCACCTGCGCTGGGATCGTTCAGGGCTATTTCCACGCTGGGACCACATTCCCGAATGCCGACTAGAAAAGCCTCCACCGCGGTCAGGGGACATATGAAGATCACGGTCTGCCTCCCAGAATTCATTGCCTGGATTTCTGAAGACATGTAGAAAGTTGCAGTTTTTCCCTTTCGGACATTTCCGTCTGTCGAAAAGTCCTGAGAACATATAAAAAAAGAATATAGGCATATTTTAAATGATAACTAAAGAAAGACTTAAGTAATTACAAAGAAACTTCTCGTTTTCTTACCACATATGGCTGTCTTCCATCTAGTTACTGGGGAGAATTCACATTGCAGTTGTTTTCCAGCATACCAGCGGCCATTAAACATCATGAAAGCTTCTTTACATTGCTCCTCTCTGCAGGTATATATAACAGAAATATCAAAAATGAAATCATATTTACAACCCTTCTCCTTCTACAGCAATGACTAATAATACGGGACTTACGTGTCATACTGAACGTAAACGTTTCCTCTCAAGTGAGGTTCAAAGTTGCAGCTCACCTATTCAAATATGGGGAAACAAATATTGTTAATTTGACCAAACCTGAATAATTTTTTATTAATTTAATATAAATTACATTCAAATTATTTAAAATTGTTACAATTATTATTAAACTATAAAATTATATTTAAACAATACATTTAATTTTATTTTTATTTTTTAAACAACCATTGTGTTGAGTTTCCATTTTTACAGACAAAGAAAAACAAGAATAAAAAAGCAAAAAGCAACTATACAAACCTAGAACCCACCCCTGGAAGACTTCAAGAATATAGAAATAGAATACAAACACAGAATCTAGATACAAAATAAATAAACTAAAAAAAGAAAATACAGGTCAACAAAGATGATAAAAAAGTTGAAAATATCAAAAGCAGCATGCCATATATTCACAGTCTTGATGTGGGATCATCCATGTATACGAAAGGTTGAGAGTTCCATTGACAATGTCCAAAAAAGACACAGTCCACATTCGGCTCTCCATTGTGTGAGGAGGATTATTCCAGTGGTTAACTATACTTTTTTTTTTGCCGCTGTGAGAGCAGCTAACAGTAAACATCTTTGTTGAACGGATAGGGTAAGATCCTCAAAATCATTCAAAAAGAAATGACATGGATACAAACATATATCAGTGCCTAACACAGGGGTCTCAAACTCAACTTAACTGGAGGCCGCTGGAGGTAGAGTCTGGGTCAGGCTGGGCCGCATCAAGTATTCCACAAAAAAATAGTATTCAAGTATTCCAAAAAAGGAGCACAACTGATCCAATCTTCTCAATCTTTATTATTAACGTTTCTTCTGAACTGTTCCTCTGAATTTGAACATTCCTTTCTGTACATGATTGGTTCTTCATGAGCTGTCCTTCTGACAGTTCATTTTACAAACATTATTTTCCTTTTCCTTATAACACATTTTTGTGATGCTTATATTTGCTCATGTCCTTTTTATTTTCAATATGATACTGAATGTTTTTTTGGAAGGCACATTTCCTTTTATTATACTTAGAAAAACAATTATTGCTTTTGAAATACAAATATTTGCAGTCATGTCTGCCCGTCTTATTGAATTCTTTCTACACATGTATAGTGTCTCAAGGCAAATTACTGACTTTGCACAAATCAAAGCAAACCTTCTTATCAACCTCTTGGACACATATTACAAGCTCAAAATGATTATTCTCACATTGTTTTAGACGCAGGGGTCTCCAACACGTCACTCGCGAGCTACCAGTAGCTCATGGCCTGATTGGTGGTAGCTCGCCAAGGGGCCTGTTCACATATCGCGCTAACATATTTTGCGCGCTCAAGTTCGTTATTTCATGTAGGCGCGCGGCAAGCGCGCTCATAATAGAAGCGAGTAAGCGACGCGCTCATTTTTTTTTTTCCAGGCGCAGTATGTTTGTACTTCGCGGTTGTCACCGTAAGCTGTCACGAGACTATCTATGGTATCCCATAAGGGATACATTATTTTATTTTTTTAAAACGCGGCACACGCAACGACGGGCCGCACTAACATTAAACTTTAATGTCAAGTAGGGGGCCACAAAATATCACCGCAAGTTTGAGACCACTGGCCTAACAGATATGAGTGAGGTGAGAGTGAGGGATACTCCCAGAAGAAGCACAAGTATGTGCCCTGAGATCCTTGAGAACATAGATTAGACTTAGGCCCTGTTTACACCTTGTCCACTTTCGACCACTTCCAGAGGTTGTTGAAAACGCATTTGACCGGATAGCTTTTGTAGTGTAGACGCACATGTGGTCGAATCTGTTTGAAAAGCCATTAATGACCGCATACTCTCTGCCTACTGACTTAATGCGTAAAAATGATGGGAAGCGCGCTAGCCAGACGGGATTTAAACTCTGTCGGTTGAAGACCCAAGTTTGGTTTGAAGACGTAAACCGTACCAAGCACAATGTTCTCTCACCATTCATGATTTCTAACACGCGCTCAGTGTTCGGCGTGGTCTTACAGATATCAGGAGGAGGACATATTTACATATTATCGCTTCAGAGGAGTTATGTTAACGCTATGTAGTAATTTCCAGTGTATAATTTGATGGTTAGGGTTCCTTGAAGACTTAAACATCCCCCATACCTGAACAGAATCATGCACATCCTCATTAAGATCCTAGACCCGAACAGTTGTAATAGATAATGGTTTATAGGAATGTTTAAGAAGATAAAGATAAATAACTGAAACAGAAGAGGGACATTTCTAAGAAGGAAGAATTATTTTGCGCAAAAGGTGAATAGGTAATTGGGAATCCCAAGGCACCCCATATGCTCGAAGGGCCGATCTGATATGCAAAAACATAAAAAAGAGGTTCCTGGTAAATAATATTGGGCTTTAATGTTCTGAAAGGATTTCAGACCACTATCATCAAAGATAGTATTTCCTTTGTTGTGCGCCCATTGCGGCCAGTGAAAGGCGCCCATTGCGGCCAGTGAAAGGGAACATTGCCTAACAAAAATGATTATTGTGAAAAATAGGCCAATGCCAGTGCCAGATTGTAACTTGTTGCGATCGCCTTTCGACTATCCTCCACGTGGAGAGGAAATGAGTTACAATAGGACCAAATTGGCTTGGAATATGTTTTTTTATTTTAGTTACCTTGAACTGCACCACCCTCCCTGCGTTCTTGAACTCTGGTAGAGCGTCTTCATAGAAATCCAGAAACTGCTGTTGCGTTTCCTCCTCGCAGTACTCAAGACTGGCATCAGTGTCGTAGTCATCACGTCTGCTCTGCTCCATCCCGAACGTCACAAACATCGCCCTCACCATCAGGGTGGTGCTGGATATTGGGTGTTCGTGTTTTCGGGAGCACCTGTTCATTACGCACAGTAAAAAAAAAAAAAAACATCATCTAGAACCTGATCAGAAATGGCACTTTGACTATCAGTCAAAACCTTGCAAACACTTACCGGTCTCCAAACCTACAAGCACCCGTTTTAAGGAAGAAGGGGCAGTTTGCCCTGTCCTTTTCAGTCCCATAATCCTTTGGGGCATCAGGGTTTTTCCAAGGAACACCATTTTCCAGCTAAATGCAACAAAATAAGGAGACTTTTCATGATTATTGCAAACAGAACTGCATTTTCCAACATGCATTTGACATGGAAAGCAAGATGTTACCTGACTCTCTGCTTCATCCAGCATTTTCTGTACCGCTTCCTAGAAATGGTGCAAACATACACAGTATGGCGGGTGAAATTGTGTGGCGTGCAAGCACATGTCTGTTAGAATTGGTTAAGACAATCTGGCAGATAATTTGTACATTATGGACTGATATTATCAGTATTTTGTAATTCAAATTCGACTGTTCACAGCACATGTTCTTTATTGTGGCATAAGTAAGCAACATTATCACTATACACCCAGCTGACACGAAAAGATACACGTTCTTCATTGGAAGTGGACACTTGCTGCATTTTAAATCGATTTTGTGTATCTTAGTTAAGGAAATGAAGACAACATTTTGCTAAACAAACAAAATCACAAAATGTACACATGAAACAGAGACTTCTGGAATGTGGTGTGTATGTAAAACCATGATTGACAAACAGCTTGAAACTTTAAAGGCTGATTTGTTGCAGGTAGCATGAAATGTTTTGATATCTGATAGAGGATATATGTAGACATCAGCCTCTTTATCCTCCCAGTGCAGGGATCACCTCTCTCTGTTTCTTCTCCTGTTCCTTCTTCTCCCGCTCCTCTTTCTCTTTCTTTTGCTGCTCCTCCCATTCTTCTCTTATTTTCCGCTTTGGTTACAGAAAAACAAGATATTGGAGCATTATATGTATTTTAATTGAGATTTGTCCAGACCATTGCAGAATGTCAAGGATTTAACGTCAGCAATTGGACTTTTCTTGCAATTATATATAGGTGTGGTCCAGAAATTGCTCACCTCTTCTTCCTCCTTTCTCTTTTGCACTGCCTCTTCTTTCTCCCTCTTCAGCCTAAATTCTTCTTGAGCAATCTTTTCTCTCTCCATCCAATCCTGGTGTAATCGCTCACTGGATTGTAAAACAGTGTGACATATTTTGTATTTTGTCCAAATGATATTAGCTTGTCATACTGAACTTAAGATGACAAACCTCTGCTCATCAGCCTTCTGTTCTTCCTCATCTTCAGACTTGTACTCTTGGTTCTCTTTATTTTGTGAATGACCTACAGCAAGTAAGTAAGGGTTATGTTTGCATAGACAGGTGTTACCTAAAACTAAGGTTAACTTTAGAAGTGTGAGAAAAGAATAAATTACGTGCTGCTATATATAAGCACGTAATGTATTCCTTATAAAAATAATATATATAGAGAGAGCAGATAACAAGCCAACATCTCTATATAAATATATATACACACACACACACACCTCAAACAAAAATTAAAATATAAATTACCTTCTCTTATTTTAGCAAGAGCTTGACGTTTCCTTTTCCTTCTTTCTCGTTTAAGAACAGCTCGTCGTTGTTTTTGACTAAAAATGAGTTTAGAAATGGTTATAAATAAATAGCAAATAAATAAATAAAAATAAACTTCTGATAATAATTTAAACATAGCTACAGAATAAAAAGCCCATACAACACCTGAGCACAAGAGCAGCAGTTTCACACTCATCTAAGCGACTCTCAGAGTCCTGCATCTCTGACGGGTCTGTCTGCAAAGAGCAACAATCATTATCCGTCATTTTAAACCACTATTTACACATTACGTAGGTAGACAACAATAGCAGCAAAGGCAACACATTTCACACCGATCATAGAACGCGCGCGCAAAGATGACATCACATTTATTGTCGTACTCTAAACGCGTGTAAACGCGCATGCTCAGAGTAGCATTGGGCGGTCAATTCATTTCAGCGAATCGGTTCATATGAATGGCTCGTTTCAATTAACCTGTTCGATTGAATTTTGAATCTATTGAATGAACTGAAATTAATTGAATCTATTGTTCACAGTTTTTTTGGTTTTATCACTGTACTTTATTGTTCCCAGTATTATTATTATTATTAATAATAATAATACTTCATTTTAAGTATTTCTAATATTGCTAATGAACACATTTCACAGTTTTCCTACTCAAAGCCATCTGCTTTTGGACATTCAAGCATTTTTTTTGCAAACCAAGCAAAATGTACAAACAAGACAGGTACGTTTTAATGTTAATTTTAAACCGTTCAAACATAGGTATATTCCATTCCATTTGACTTAATGAATATAATAATCAGCAATTATAATGATTTAATTAAATAAAAAAAATGTATGACTATTTTTAACACCAGCCAAGGCCATCTGTAAGTGATTTACTAGTTCTTTGTGAATCGGTTTGACCAAATCATAAATAAGAGTCGGTTCAGAAGAACGACTCGCTTGTGAATCAGACACCACCAGCTAGATTTTGCGCTTTTGGGATGCGCGAGCTGGTGTTGTAAGTGACGGAGTCGTGAACGTAAAACCCTAAAAACCTGTTTTTTCTGCTTTTTGGCTTTAAACCCCACAATTCATTCAGTGGCTAACCCCAGAAAAGCACGCCAAAATGGCAGACAAAGAAGGTAAACTTTTTTCGTTGTGATTTACGTGCATATTTTTTTTTCTTTGGCAGAGTTTGCTAGCTTTAGCCTAAAGTGCTAATGGATGTGACCCACATTCTAACATACGAATGAATGAGTGTCACAACCTGAGCACGTTTTTACCAAGTACTCAAGGTTTACTTTGGTTAAAGCCTCTGGCATTGATAAATGATTCTACGAACTTGAATAAAACAGATAATGGTTTCTCAAACAGATCGAAATGCTGTTGTTCTCCAAGTTCCCTCCATCATTCATAAGCTGCAGTGTAACTATAAGTTGAGGAACTTTACAATGTTACACTTCAGTTTCTGCAAATGTATTAGAATACAGCAACCTTTTACTGCCCACTGCACTCCCACAATGCATTTATTGAGAAATGTTTATTTGAATGCATTTGGCCTGAATCTATCCTTCTGTTCTATCTTCTCAGTGTATGATGATGCAGTGGAAGAGAGAGTAATAAATGAGGAATACAAAATCTGGAAGAAAAACACACCATTCCTGTACGATCTTGTCATGACACATGCACTCGAGTGGCCGAGTTTAACGGTGCAGTGGCTTCCTGATGTGAACAGGTAATCCAATAACTAGCCTGTCCACCTTCTGAAACATAACAGATGACTAGCACTCTACAAATCATTGTCTATCATTGTGCAGGCCTGAGGGAAAGGACTATGCGGTTCATCGGCTGGTGTTGGGCACACACACTTCGGATGAGCAGAACCACTTAGTCATCGCCAGTGTCCAGATCCCTAATGATGATGCTCAGTTTGACGCGTCCCACTACGACAGCGAGAAAGGAGGTTAGAGCTGATCTGACAATGAATGAATGCTAATTTTGTATTTTTTTGTGTTGAAGTCATTATACTAAAATCAATTTTGCGTATGTGTTTCTTTAGCAGGTATGGTCAGGACGTTGGGGGGAAATCCAGATTCAGTTGATCAATAAGACTGAATCTTTCCACAAATATGATGCGCATTTTTGACAACTTCAGAATGTGATGGATCTTTTTTACACCTGTATTTAGTGTTTATATGGATGTTAAAGGGATAGTTAAGTTGAACTTTTTAAATTCTGTCATCATTTACTCACCCTCATGTTGTTCCAAACCCATAAGACTTTTCCTTTTTGAAAACACAAATTATGATATATTTTTAATATTTAAGACTTCCTCTATTGAAAGTAAAATTTAACCAAAATGTCAAGCTTCAAAAAGTATATGAAGCCACTGTAAAAGTAATCCATATGAAAAGCAGACACGGTTGAATTCCCGTTGATCACTGTTTATGTGTGAAGACTAAATTAAATCTGTTCATCATATAAACCAATCGTGTCTCCTCAGAAAACTTGGATTAAACCGCTCGAATCATACAGATTTCAGGTTTAATCAGAAATATCTTTTGTGTTTCAAAGATGAATGAAAGTCTTATGGGTTTATGACATGAGTATGTGTAAATGATGAGACAATTTTCAGTTTTGGGTGCTCCAACCCTTTAATACCAAGTGTAAACTGGGCCCATGAATTTGACAGTTAATTTTTTATTTAGTTGAATGCTTCAAACTGATACTTTTCACAAATAAAGTTAATGAAACAAGGACAGCGATCAGACGTTGGACAATAATGATTGTATATAATTTCCCCCCCCCCCAGAGTTTGGAGGGTTTGGGTCAGTGAGTGGAAAGATTGAGATTGAGATTAAGATCAACCATGAAGGAGAAGTGAACAGAGCCAGATACATGCCACAAAACCCCTGCATCATCGCCACCAAGACCCCCACCTCTGACGTGCTGGTGTTTGACTACACCAAACACCCATCTAAACCAGGTCAGTGGCTTTCAGTTGATCCAAAGAAGCCCTGATATATTTTAAAGGTACACTCTGTAACTTTTGGCCCTTTAGTGGTTAAAAAAAACTGCATGCATTTTTGCGGAAGAACATTGTTTTAGTTGTGCTTCAGCTTTGCGTGACTGTGGGGATGAATATACACTTCTAGACTTAAGAGAAATAACCAGTTTAGATGGAAAGGATCCTAAGCTGACTAGCTGAAGACGTTACTGTAGCCTTACCCATTAATAATTATAACCCAGGCACGGTTCCTTGAAAATAAATTCAGCACAGCGCTACAACAACCCATAATGAATTGACCCTTCACAATAGATAATGCTTTACAATGAACTCTGTTAAACAGCTACACATAGCAATTTTTCTTTTCAATAAAATACCGTACTCACACGTTGAGTAATAAAAACGCCATATCCGCATCACTTTTACAACATTTCAAATCCCTCAGTTCTCACTATCTCTTAAAAGCCAAGCCAATGCTGATTCTTGTTTTATTACGAGTTCTCTTTTTGCCAGCAGACTCTCCTCTGTTCTGCATTTTTTTTTAAAACGGGTGATTGGGTTCGAGATTTAGCTGCTCCATGTAAAAGTTTCTCACCCGTTGTGACAACTAACCTATGCCACTCCCACCACATACACGCGTCAACGTAGCCAGAGCAACTTTTCTCTATTTACGGATATGACGAGACATGCATGGGTGAGGGACGTATGTACGCTATTTCCCATGAAAACCATTCCACCAGGTTTAAAATATGAACACTTATAATAAGCTTACTATAGTTAATCAGGGTGGGACAAAAACAAGTTGTGGAAGAAGAACTGATGCTGTATTGACTCATTTAAATTTTGTTCATTTGGAACTAAAAAGTGACATAGTGTATCTTTAAATTAGGGATGGAACTAAAAATGATTTTTAATTATTGATTAATTGGTTAATTGCATCTTCGATAAATCAGATAAACAGAGGCAAATTTTATTTTCTATATTTTATTTAAAAGTTATTCTTCCCAATGCTGTCCTTAAAAACATGCAAATTGAAGGCAATGAAACAAAAATTGTGGATGTTTCTATGTGGACTATTATATGCATTATTTGCAAAAAAAGGGTTTAAAACTTAAAATAAAGTGGTAAAACTTGCGCACAGTAATGAAGAAAAACAAAACCACAATTATTTTACCTCATTACATTAGTCCATTTACAGTTACTGCTCTCATGAAAATACAATGTAAAACAAGTCCAACAAACTGCATGTTTAATCTAACAAAATTTATATACAAAATGTATCAGAATTATTGCTCTTCTGCGCCGGTGCTCGTTCACTACAGTCTGTCAAGTTTAATGGAGACTTGCTTGATGTCAGGATAAGCCTTTTTGCAAAATGAAAATTCTTGCGTGACTTTAAAACATTAACATAACTCAAATGTGTTGAACATAGGGCTGCACAATATTGGAAAAAAAAAAACTGACATTGCGATATTTTGCTTTTCTGCGATATGAAAAAAATATCACCAGATGATTTGAATAGCTCTATCTGTAAAGAATTAATAATTCTAGAATAATTGGGGTGATTTTGTAGGAGAGTGCAACTGCATAGAAAATAATAAACAAATTACAAGCGTAGATACAATAGAACAAAGATACTAATGAAATAAGTAGTGCTTTGTTTTTCAGGTAAATCTAACTGTATTCAGGTACAGACATTGAATAATCAAATGTAAAATCACACTGCAAAGTCTTCACTGTATAAATTAAGTACATTTAAAGGGTTCATATAATGCCATTTTTATACAAGTTAATGATTCTTTAGGGTCTAAATGAAACGTTTGTAATCTACCTAAATGAAAAATTCTCAATAGTATTGTAAGAAAACACTCATTTTATCTGGTCAAAAACAGCTCTTGTTTTCAGCACGTCATTTAAGTGCATGTGTCTTTAAATGATAATGAGCTTTATCAACCCACCTCTCTGTTCTATGGGCCGTTTTGACACAACACACGTGCAGTGTTGCCTTGACAACAGTTGAGGGTATAGTTTGGAGAAAGAATGGCAGCGGGAGTCTCTGAGGACACATCTGTGCAAACGTATCAATTTGATTTTTTGACATTACTTCTTAACACTAGAAGTGCCAGAATTCCATAAGTACTAGAACTGCCACAAGCGGTCATTTTGACCGTTAGATTGCAAACTCTATATCTTTAATTAATCATAAATAAATACCCAATTGAGAGATTAATGCATTTATTGTATTAGGATATCTTTTAAAAACAAAACAACACCAAACTGTACTAGGGGTGTCCTTGACTAAGGATTTTCATAGTCG